ATATACGTATGTCAATACATATCCATTTGTCAAGCGATAGTACATACTATAACGGGCGTTTCCGTTTTTTTTTCTTTGACACAATCTGATAGAGAATCTCAGAAAGAAGGAAACTAACATAAATCAGCGTTATCTGTTTTCTCAAAAAAGAAGATTCATATTAGTTTTTATAATCGACAGCACGTTACTCGCTATTTCTATCATAAATCTTTGATTACCATCTGTATAGCATGGCTCTATGCGTAGAAATGAATTTTACTGGTGCGAATTTATATTATGCTAAAAAAATTCAATCTGAAAACAAAACTTGGGCGTGGTGGTTAAATAATCTTGGTTAGGAATTGAATAGATGTATAGATTTATGAATTTTGTTTGATTTTCTAGGAACGTTAGTTGTCTTCGTAATTGGTTTTTTTGGTAATATATTATGTTTAGTAGTTTTATGTCGTCGACGTAAGTTGTTATTAATATACAAAAAAAAGTTTATATTATTGATTTTATTTTTAGGTTTGAGACGAAATTCTTACACTCAATATTTGATTGCTTTAGCTATTGTAGATACTGGAGCTATTTTTTCTGAAGGCATGTAAAAGAAAATAATAAAACCATAATTATATTATTCAACACGATATATTTTTAGTTCTTTCTGCACTTGATGAATTATATCAATTTGAGTATAAATTAACACTTGTTGCACATAACAATTTATCATGTAAATTATATAATTATATAAGATATATATTTTACTCTATGAGTTCTTGGTAAGATTTTAATAGCTCTTCTACTATGATTTGTACAGAAAATAATCTGTTCTTCTAGGATTACCGTTGCTTTAGCTGTTGAACGACTAATAGCCATAAAATTTCCCTTATGGTCAAAACATATATGCAGTGTTGTTAATGCTCGTCGTATCATATTTATAATACTTTTATTTACAATGCTTATTCAATCTTATCATTTAATAATAAAGGGTCTCGATTGTAATCCATCGCCATCATCAACCAAAGTTTGTCGCTGTAAAACAATACGTCATCATACATATCTAAAATTGGATCTAATTTTAACAGTCTATGTTTGGCGACTTGCTTTAATGACATTATTACCATTAGCAATAATCATAATCGTCAATATACTTATTATGAATAAATTATTTCATAAAAGTTCATTAGTTGATCATACAAATGCAACCTGTAATGCTCAACATAAAATGAAATTAGTCTATAAAATATCTCGCATGTTAGTTGTAGTTACATCAATATATCTTCTATTACATGTACCTGGTTCAAGTTTAGATATAATTAAATTTATGTATATATCTGTTTTACGCATATGTAATTATAAATGGCAATATTATCTTCTTATAAGTCATGAAATATTTGATTTATTAACAAATTTTAATTATGGTATTAATTTCTATTTGTATATCATTAGTGGTAAACATATACGCAATGAACTAATACGTACTTTTAAACATTCATCATCACGTTCAAAATCTAGTACACAAAATTGTAAATATCGTCATTCAAGTTATGATATATCATCATATATGCTTTCATCAAGAAGGAATCAAACACGAGATTCAAATATACCATTATCTGAACGCCGAACTGGTTCACATCAACAACGGCTTCCTTCTTGTGAAGAAAATAAATAAGTATTTACGTTCGATATATTTCTGTGACAAATTAACCGAACACATACATTGAACAAATGAATATGAATGTAATTATTTGTTGTTATATTTATATATGCATATATATAATTTTTGCTTGGCATATGTTTGTTGCTTCTGATGACCTTTTGAAAAAGAATATTGTCATCACATGATGATAATTATTGATCGACAAAAGGGCAGAGTATATATTCAATAGTTACATAGGATAATGTTAACAGAAAAGCATAAGTACATCATTTGTGATTCACAATGTTTTTAGTGAATTGATTTTCTGTGCGTTCCAATGAAAAAAGACCATAGCAACACATAAAACTAAAAAATGATAGCTGCACAAGAATAATGAGTGTTCGATGCAGAGAGTTTTAGGTAGGGAAATATTATTTATATTCTTTTCACACATTTATCATATGAAGCATTATCTACTCTTTTCATAACATAGATCTTGTAATAAGATGACCATGGTAATAAAATTTTCTATATGAAGATAATAATTAAATAATAATAGGACGTTATTATGACACTTCTCATACGATGAAGCTATGATTTTTTGAATATCTAGTTTCGTTTGCGTCTAGGGTATTTTGATCTAAGTATTGAAATAAAGAAAAAAGGGTATCTGATAAATCTATGTCAGTTGTCACAAATTGTATTTAATATACTCTTCAGAAAATTGAATTATAAGAGAAAATATGTTAACTTGAAATTCATATGATTTCTTATGTTAATGTTGAATTCATTGATTATCAAATTGTCATGCATCAATGATAGCAGATTTCTTTCAAAACAATGTGTTTAATGAATTTGAACACATACATTTATATAGGTTGGAAATAATATTATTCCAGAGAGATAGCTCTGTGATTTCAAATAGCATGAACAACAAATTTCATACCAAATTAAAGCGCATCAAAAATGGGATTTAGCAATACTAAATAGTAAGGATTATGGCAATTTTTCAGTGTCGAGTTCAGAAAATTCTTGAATTTTACGTCATGTCGATATAGACAAATTCTTAATATGAGGCATATAAAACTAAATTTCATTTAAAACGACGATTATCACAAAGTAATGTTTATATTTTTAAGGTATAGTGAATACAATCAGTAATCAGTATGGCCACAACTGACGTACTTTACCGCACACAGACGAGACGCATACGAACATAAAAAACGTTTCTCATAACTCAATATTTATTTCCATTTTTGTCAAAACATCCGAAATGTGGTTTTTTTAATTTTTTCGTGATAATCCATTACCTTCTGTCTTTAACAGCATTTTTAAACTCCCTTTTTGATTATCTGTTCTCATATTTTCAGACTAGGCGTCGATTATTTTGTGATAAGCATTATTTTAAATTTTTAAATGAGATTTAGTTCGAGATGCCACATGAGAAGAATTTTTCTATGTCTATATGGCGTAAAATTCAGGAATTTCCTGAACTCGACATTGACAAGTTGTCATAAAGCCTACTATTTAGCATTACTAAGCCCCATTTTTGACGCACTTTAGCCCTTTGAGGATCGATTTTTTTTATAGAAAGAAGTTGAATCTTCGCTTACAACATCAAATATACTTGAAAACTATCATTCATAATTTTTTCATTCAAACTTAATGCTAAAGATACACGATGTTTATTTTGAAACAAAACACACATCCAAGAAGTATAACAAACAACAATTCAATAACATATGAAAAGGAACGCTAATACAATAAAGCCAAAAATGTAATAAAATATGGAATTCCACGAAACAACTAACCACATGAAAATCTACATAATAACCTTTGCATAGTTATACAGTGTGGATCAGTCCTCTTTCTTCGATTAGTGTGTACATATACAACACAAATTTTCTGAAGAGTTTTTCTAGTTGTTATTTGAGATGCAAGAGATAAAAAGTGTCTAGCAGTAAGTCTAGTTGATTGATAAGTCAGTACAAGACGACCTTTTGTAGCTTTTGAAGCACTATAAGTTTCTAAGATTTTACGAATACATTATAAACGATAATCTACCAATTTAAGTTTCTTTTCGACATTAGCTTTATAATGCAAATATACAATGAATGATGACCAATTACATGGAGCTAAACATATCTATACTCTCTCTAGACTACTTCGTAACGACTATATATATAACATGTATATTGGAATAAAATTCATAATAAGAATTCCAACTTTAATGTATCTAAGGATTTTTTCAATAGGCCAAATTTCGAAACCGTATGTATACGATCTTGGTCATCAAACGGTTAAATAGTTATCTTGCGCTTTAAAACTTGATTTTGTCAGACATTTTTTATTACTTATTATAAAAAAATACCCAGTATTTATAATGTGTCTGTATGATTTTAGAATTATCAATCCAATGATGGAGGTTCCATTCAAACCAATAATAGTGTCTTATGATAGATGACCTAGCATTCACAATAGACGATGATGGAATACACTGAGTTCAATATATATACTATACCTAAACGATTCCATAACGTCTGTATGTGTACCACGTATATTGGAATAAAAAAACCGTACCAAAAAAACCAATTTTAGTGTATTTAAGAACTTCTTCTCTTAGTCAAATTTCAAAGCCGTATATATACGGTCACAGTCCCCAAAGAGTTAATTTTGTATGAAATTTGTTGTTAATGCTGTTTGAAACTGCAGCGTTACCCACTGAAATAATATTATTTTCACCCTAGTACATATCGAATATCTTACAGAAGTGAAGCATCGACTTGCAAGACTCGTACTAGAGAATATATTATCGGCAAGTCATCTATAAATGTAGAGTAAGAGAGACATACAGAACATAGAGTTGAATGTTTGTAGTGAGTGAAAGTAGTAGCTATTGAAAAGGTGAGACGTGACCCTCTTCTAATACTCTAGAATTCTCATAGAATTCTACCTTTAGCCTTCTTAATATACATATAACACACATATAATCGATACCTTCTTAATAATATTTTCATATAACGAGGTGCGCACTGCGCTGAATTCTAGAATCTAAGAATAAAAATCTTGAGGGTGAGCGTCAGTGTGTTAGGCTTAACCCTCATACTTACACACACCCTCACCCTCAATTCATATATTTTTATTCTTAAATCCTAGAATTCTAAAAATTCTCAAATTCCATCTTTACTAATATCAAATCAATTGGTATATTTTTATTCTTGAATTCTTGCATTGTAGAATTCTAGAATTTTGGAATAAGGTCACTGCGGGTAAAGTTAATGTAGTTTCATGTTTACTGCCTGAAAACGAGCCATAAATGTTATCCATTTTGAACAACCTGAAGATGAGTAAAGATTCAGAATACCAAATTTTCATAGCATCAAGACAATATAGATACGTGTACATAGAATGTCCATTTGAATAATGCCCTTTGAAGTGGGCTATCAATTGAACAGTTAACATTCGTCGCTGTGGCTCGGGTGTGGAAGTGAATGTGAGTGTAGGCGTGCGTATCGGCAAGGATGCCAGCGAGAGTGTCGGTGAGTGCGCAATATGGTGCTTCTCTTCACTTTTCGAATAATCACGCTCACACTCACACATCCAGAACCACATTCATATTCACTCATCGTTACACTCACACATCACGCCAACACATATTCTTCTTCTACACAACCACACCCAACATCATACACAGCATCACCATACTCCACTCACACGAACATCACATACTCACAACTAAACGCACACCTGCACTCCACACCTATACCACATTACCGCACTCACACCCATACCAACACGTTCATATCCCATAGTTACATTCACTCTCCACATATGATTGGTATAACTCCCAGCCTGAAAATACTGATTCAACGAAAGGTGAATACCAAAAACATCTCATTATCTTAACTCTCAGCATGAAAACACTAATTGGTCGAAAGGTGTTCAGAGAAAACATGTCATTCGCTGAAATCCTAGCCTGAGAAAACTGATTAGACGAAAATTAGCAATGAGAAACATCTGATAGGCTGAAATTCCTGGCATGCAAAAAAACGGATTAGTCGAAAACTGGATAGCAAAAGTACCTGGTTGGCTGGACTTCTAGCATAAAAAAAAACTTGATTGAACGAGAGCTACATAGTGAAAACATCTAATTTGATGGCACACTGCTAACAAAATCAAGTGATTGGCTAAATTACTAGCATGAAAAAAAAACCATTTCAAATAGCTGCTCAAGGCTCTCACAAATATGTGTACACGTACAAGCAAACATACAAGCAAGCTAACTCATTTTATTTTGTATGACTCCCTTCAGTCGAAGGAATAATTGATTTACTTTGCTTGTTTGTAAACCGATGCGACGACATGTTATCGTATCATCGCTGTCCGACAGAAGTAGATGTTCTATAGATGTATTAGCCACCGGGATCGATACCAAACGTTGGGCTATAGTACCTAATATGGATACAATGATTTGTTAGTATTCGGATACGTTAAAAGACTTATATTTTTGTTTGATTATCAATATATTCATCGAATTTGGCTTTTATTGCTGTATCATTTTATAATTTACTTATGGACGTTGATACATTGAATATATCATCTAATGAAGTTTGTAAATATGTACTTCTGAAGAGTTTCTTTCCTGTTATTATTAGTATTTGATAATAAGCGTTGTTCAAGTCATTAAGATTTATCGAATTCTGACTTTAATAGTACCTTGGCATAATACTTTTTATGTGAGAGTATGACTAAACATTTCAGATTTGCGTACAATACCATTGCTATGTAATTCGTATCATCATCCATTTAATAACATACTATTCTTCTCTAATGTAGTTTTAAAAGATTTATTGATTATCATCAATGGTACTACGTGATAGATTCAGCAAAAATTGTTCACAAAAAACAACTCTATGCAATGTTGATGTTTTTCAGCGCTTGATTCTGTAATAAAGTGAACAATATTATTCTGCTCGAAAAGATCAATGGGTTTGTTGAATTTACATGTTAATTATAAAAGGTATATTCGTAAAAAATAACGTTAACAAATTATTATTCGAGATAAATATTGAAACTTATTGTACCACTACGAAATGTTGACTAGACTTATATGAAACAAATAAAGCTGCTCAGAATATAATTATTGTTTAATTAATTTTTGCTAATTTAATTGACCGAAAAAAATCTTCTCGTCGTCGATGAAAAACTTATTTGTTGAATACTACTTCATACAAACATATATTGTTTGAAGATTCATAGAAAGAATTGTATATTTTTAAACTTTTTAGTTTTCAAAAATTTATCAAACATGATTCATGTTCGTGAGAAATATATGAAAATGAGTTCATTACAATTCAAATAGCATATAAGTTCAGAAAAATGTTTATAGAATTCAATAAGTTATAGAAAATGTTTCAAGTTTGTTTTTTTAACATCGCTGTTCTTGGGCATGCAACATGAGTATCAGAACAATACTAGCAATCGAATAAGCTACAAGTAAAAGTATATTTGTTTGAATTTTTCTATGCTTTGAATATGCTACACAAGACAAATGAAATTTCGATGGCTGTTCTTTACTTCTTTTCAAAATGTTAACATAAACTATGATTGATAAAAACTTTAGTGAACTATTGGAATTAGCATCAATTCAAATGTCTTGTGCTTAAATTCTAGAGTAGTATTGTAAATAAACGCACCGTTTGTTATTCCAATTTATGTAATTTTACGACTGAGCATAGCAATATCTTTATAATCAAAACAGTTGTACATGTAGTTGAATAATGTAATATTAACTGTCTTAAAGAAGGCATTAGATACTAACAAAAATAATTACGTCATGTTTATAAAATTCGTGCAAATTTTTTCAAGGAAATACACTTATGGAAACACAATCGTCTCACGCTTATTAATTCTGCTGACTTATAAATATATTTATCAACTTTATTGGAAAAAAAAATAATAAGTTTCATTTAATGCGGTTTTGGTTTATGACCATCAACATAATAGTTTCGAGTAGCTTGTGGTAAAGTAAACTCTGCACCTTCAAGATCTTTTTTTAGAATAATTTGACAACCTAAAATAAAAGAAATTATTTAATCATTTTTAACATGTATGATAGAAAATATTCTGAAAATTTTGCACAAAAAAAAACATAGTTATTACACGTTAGAAATAGATGACATCAATTTATATTGAACAATATAATGTTATATCGTATTCTACTTACCTAATCGTGAGTTATCTTTTAAAAAAGCAGCTAAATCCAATTGATCTTCTTCTCTATAAAAAAGAAAAACAATAATTAAAATGAAAAATATTCATTGACGAACATTTTATCATGAGCGGCGCAATGTCAATTTTTTAGGAAAAGCCATTGATTTTAAAGCGAACTCATTTTGACCTCCAACGCAATTGTGACTTTGTCCATTGATGATGCATTACGTGCTTCATATTAGTGTAACACTTATTGTTGAAAAAACATTTACTCAAAACAATCTAGGAAAAACTCAAGTTATTTTTGCCATTACCTTCCGTTTAGTGATCATTGTTCTCTTGCTTTAATATTCATCTATAAAGGTTATCTGAGATTTAAACAATTTTTCTTTTTTTTGGAGAAAATTATAGACGTAACAATCAGTTGGGAAGATAGAAATGATATTTTTCAGATTATTTATTACATTATGTAATATTAGCAGCTAGGTAATTTTTTTGTCTCTGATTGTGAAGTACTTCGTAAGTATGCTTTTTTTCCAGATATTTTTATTTCAAAATTTAAAACACTGAACTGTAGATTTTGTTAACAAGAAGATAAAAATCAACAACGAATGGTAAATGGTGCGCTCACTTAAATCGGTAACAAATAGCAAAGAAGATCAGTTAATACATTTCATATATTAAATGTCGGTTGATCGAACTTCAATTCTTTTGATCAAAATAGTCAAGTATCAAATAGTCAATCTTAAGGAAGTGGGAGTTGATTTACGATTACGCTATCGGTCTTGATCCAGTAGTAAATTTTCAATATTGATTAGCCTGCAAAACACAGAGAGTCCAAAATAATTAATAAGTCTGTTATGCACTAATTCAATAATCGCATGTCGGATATATATATAAATGATAAAAAATGCATTTATCAAGATAGCAATAAACAGAATCATGAAATTATAGATTAAGTAATCTTACTCTAGTATACAAAGATGACGTGAAAATTGGTGAAATTAATAAGATTCTATTACTTCTTCAAATATTTTTGTTAGTCTTTGCAGTGTTGGTACGCCGCCCATGAATTTTTTTGTTCTTTCCTTTTTACTTACTCTTCTTTTGGTTCGGGCAATTTATCAAGATATTCTTCTTTTACATAAACATGACATGTTGAACAAGCTAACGATGCTTCACAAGCACCTAAAATTCAATAGAAAAACAAACATTTCGTATAACTCAAAAGAATTTATTCTTATTTAATAACCTTCTATTTCTATACCATAACGATGTCCCAAATATAAAAGATTATCATCAATTTTACCACGTATTGGAATATGTTTACCATCTTTATTAATAAAAGTGATATTAACTACTTCATCCTCTGATTTCGGATCTTGCCATTCATATTCGCCATGATATCGTACAGCTGTGAAAGAATAAATTAGAATATATTTTTATTTAATAGATTAAATAACATTATTGAAAAATACCGAAAAGATATAATTAAAATATCACTTAGATTTTTTATTCACAAAATAAAGGCAAAGTAATTTTGTAGCGTTAACGAGAAAGTTTTCGTAGCATCAGTATCTTATTCAGTGTGAGAGCGGTATCCCTCCGAAGATTGGGTTAGTCCTCCTGCAGTTTTAAATCATCCATCCGAAAGATAAAATCTATATAGAACACTGAATAACTTGTCAATCGATAACTTCCATTTCTTTACTATAGACTGGAATATTTATTAATCATATTTCAAGAAACAAAATATAGTGTGTACTCATTTAAAATAAAAGTCGGTTTTGCATTTATATAAAAGAAAGTAAAATTACAACAAACGATTGATATTCTAAATTCTGCGTTTTGAGCACCAAAATAATCAGTTTCTTCTAAATTATTTCAAAAATGAACCTTTAATTAAATATGTATCCGACTCAGACTTTTATTATGTAAGACAGTAATGAGTATGTCATTTAGATATTCTTCTACAATTTGTTCAAATCTGAAGAAAACTAATTTCCATTAAATGTGTAGTCAAGTTCAGTAATGTTCAGATTATAAAATGATATATCTTATTAATATATATATATCAGCCAAGTCATTCATTAGCGACGTGACTTCGTAAAATTGAAACACATGTATCTCGAGATTATGAACTCTTCTAGAGCTAATTTTTATATGCTACATGTGTGTTAAGTTACTCTAAGTACTCTGAAAGAAATCGATGCTAGAGATCTTTGTTCAGAAAAGTTATCAATTAAAATCTAGCACTAATAATGTGAGGAAAACATGGACATAGACTTTCGCTTGATGCATTTTAATTTTAAAAAACTCCGAATTGAGACAGTAGTTTTTAAAACTCTATAGTACATTCTGTAAGCAACTCTTGAGACTACCAAATCTCTATCCAATGTTTTTTCTGAGCATGCTTAGATTTTTCAAAAAAATCCATTTACTTTTCGTTAGCGACATGACTTTGGTGTCTGATCTTGTTGAAAATTCAACAATAGATACAATTTATACCGTAAAGTCTATCCTGAAACTTTCAAATTTTTTTCTTATATAGTTAGAGAGATATTTGCTGATTAATTTTTAATTAATAGTCAGCTGAAAGAGCCAACACTGTTTATATATGTCAATACTAAAAGAACTCATTCAGAAAAATAATCCTTGTAAACAATCGAAATCAAATGAAAGATGGGTATTCCCATTTTGCCTGAAATGATCCTGTCTATCAGCACAGAAAAATCCTAACAAAATATATCAGTTTATATCCTGGAAATTTTTGAACTCGCTTACATTTATTTGAAACTAATATTCCCTAATTACGAAATTCTCAAAATTTTGGGGTAAGAGAGTATTCAAAAAAGAAAAACAATAGTTGTCGATTTCTCTCTTTAATAATTCATTTTTCAAAGATTTTATTCTTTAATTGAAAATTTTCTTTTCGATGTTTTCCTTTTCATCAAAACTCACCCTATAATTCATATTCTACCTGTTATTAAGGGATTTTTATATAATCGATTTATTGTACGTAGAGAAGAAAGTATATTACGACACATCATATTCATTTGTTTTTTACTAATATCTTGAAAGAAAAAAAAAGAAGTTCATCTATTTAAGTTCTATGTTTTGTTTTGTTTTTTTTTTCTTGGTAAGTTAACTGGAAAACAATCATTTTACAAAATCTACATAAGAAAATGTTGTCCAAATGCAACATTCTGTTAATATAAGTATTAGGAAGCAAAAAAGAAAAGAAAAGAAAAGAAAAATTCACAGTATTATCCAATTTCAATCAAAATTACACGTTCTTCGAGAAAAATGGCACGTGAAAGATTGAAAAAAAAACCGAATGTTTTTTTTTTTCAAATATTTAATTTAATTATTAAACAGGTTGTTGTTTAATATCAACTGTAGTTGTCTGATCCGATGATTGATTATTATTATCAATTTGTTGTATTGGTTTTGTTGTTGTTGTTGTTGTTATTGCATTATTATTAGTCGTTTTATGTGAAGCATTTAATATTTGTTGTAATTGAGCTGCTGTTATGGTAATCTTTAAAAACAAATAAAGAAAATATTTTCTATACATTGTGTTTTCTTTTTATATTAGAATCAAATCTTACATGAGCTGATGTAGCAGGACGTTGTTGTGGTTGAATAACATTTGGTGATGTTGACACATGTATGTTTTTTGCCGGTGCTGTTGTTTGTTGTTGTTGCATAGTCTAGAGAGAGGGAGAGAGTGATTTAAAATAAAATTAAACGAAAAAGCTATTTGTATACTTCAGACATTTGAGGTGGAGCTATTTGAATATATTGAGCTGGTACTTGAATCTGATTTGACTGGGATAAAACTGCATATTGTTGGCCAGAATTCTAGAAATATAATAAAAGCATATAGAGATTTTGTTACGAACAATTATTGTAAATTAAAAAAAGATGAGTTCATGCTTAGGAAAAAAATAATTCAATATGAACTTTTTTAATATTAATTTATTATGTGATGTATGTCTTTTAGGCATAAGTAAAAAATTCATGAGAGTAGAATAATCCTGAAAGGATTTGTATTGATATGTCTGTGACACTAAGTTATACTCATCAGATTTATAGCACTGATTTATTTGTATAACAAAATTTTATATAAAAATAAATACATCTTTCTAGATATATAGTTCTGGATAAAAATAGCTGTCATCCATGAAGTACTACTATTCTTTATAATATTGAACCGATAATTTGGATGTATGTATTCGACAATAAATCCTGATCGCAATTACCATTCCATCCTTCATCGGTTAACACCAACTGGAGTTATGATTCAGACATTACCTTCCTCTTGCGATCACTTTATCTCAAACATGTTGGCATAAATATTTTCGTTCAATCCTTCATTTGATAGCCCAATATCGTACCCTTCTCTAGTTCGAATTTAGATAGAAATTCTTTTAAAATAACTGAGATGTTGTCTTCTCATTAAGAATGTCTGTTTCAGAACAAACGCTGATTTTTAGTAAAATGAATCTTATCCACGATGGCTTTGATCAACTCATTTGAATCAAGTTGAATTACCAGTACGACGTGAATTTACTATCTCAAGGCGCTCTAATTGCTAAGATCTTTAGTATGTGTCACGGATAAAGTAGACACATGGTACTGTCATTATTGGTAGAAAAAAAAACAGTAATAACTTGTGGAATAGCAACAAACACTTATTGAATTCATCTTTCTGCTGAATATGTTTTTCACAAAGGAAAAAAACGATGTGTCAATCATAACTTTAGTAGATATAAACCGATGAAAGACGAGATTGATGCTTGTGATCAGGGTTTATTGTCGCACACATATACCAAAAATGTCAGTTCAATATTATAATAAATGGTAGCACTTCATGAAAGGCAGCTACTTTTATTCAGGATTATATGTACTATAGATATCTTATCAATTATTCGATATGACAATACACTTACACCAATCGTGACAAGTGGTGATTGTATTGTTGGAGATAATTGTATAACTTGTCCGTCTAATTATAAAAATATAAACTAAGACAAATATAAATAAATTCTTACTTGGTAATTGAATAGCACTAGGTTGGTTTGCCTGTGGAAGTGTAACAATATACTGTACTTCGCCCATATTATTATCCTAAATTGAATTCGACAAATTTTATTTTGTTTTCTCTAGATATATAGATTTACATGTTTTTTATGAGGTTTTGATTCTTCTCGTGGCACAATATCAATCAAAAAATCAAATTGTTCATATTTCGTAATTGCCATTGCAACATCATTTCTCTATTAAAATCATGAAAAGATAATTTTCAAACAAAAAACATATATCTTTTCTATTTAAACCTGTAATGTACGTCGTTTACTTTCTTCTGTATGAAGCCATGCACGTAATGTTAATTCATGAACAAATATTTCAGCTGCTTTAGCAAATAGTATTGGTACTTCAGCACTTATCATTTTAACATCATCATCTAATTTCATAATTTTTTTAATGCGTGCTAATGGTAATTCACTTGCTCGAAAATCCATCTTAAATTTAAAAACAAAACAAAACCAATGTTTTTATTCTTTTCTTTTATTTTTTTTATTTCAATTATGTAAACACATACAATATTTATCGATTCAATTTCAGCACGTATTTCTGACCAAAAACGTTCAAGCATTTCAGTTCCTTCTGTTGGTTGTAAAGCTTCACTTTTTTCATTTGTTGATGTTTGTGTCATATTTAATTAATCTAGAATACATTTAGAGAAATTGAATGGACAATAAACACTAACAAATAATATTACAATGAACAAAAGAAAAAAAAAATATATATATATATGTATAGAGAGAGAGATATATATGGTTTTTGTTTACATAAAATATTCATACAGAGAAGAATAAGATATCTGAACATTGCACAAAACAAATGAAATAGAATATCTTTTTTATTTAAGGTCCAATTGTATATTGTTGTTGTGTACCTTGTGGACTCTAGAAAGAAAAACAAACGATATTATGTATGATTAGAAAAAAAAAATTAATTCTGCAACTAACTGCCATTGTTACAATATTTGATGATAAATTTTGAGGTAATTGAATAATTTGACCATCTAAACAAAAACAAAAAAATTTGATTTAGATATTATTCAAAAAGAAAAATGATTTACTAGGTAATTGAATAGTATTGCCCATGCCAGTTGATGTTGGTAATGTAACAATATATTGCACTTCACTAACACTTTCTTTTTTCTTATGTGTTTTTGTTGCTTCTTCACGTGGAACAATATCAATAAGAAAATCGAATAATTCATTTTTTGATATAGCTGCAGCAACATCATTTCTCTATAAGATATGAAAAATTTTCTTCCATTGAAAATTCTTTTTTTTGTTATTCTTTAACCTGTAATGTACGACGTCGACTTTCTTCTGTTTGTAACCATGAATGAATCGTTAATTCTTGAATAAATAATTCAGCTGCTTTAGCAAAAAGTATTGGCACTTCAGCACTAATCATTTTAACATCATCATCTAATTTCATAATTTTTTTAATACGTGCTAAAGGCAAATCTGTTGTACGAAATTCAACCTAGAATTAATAAAAATAAATTTTAATTATATTGCAATATAAATTCATATTGATTCATCTACAAAAAGATGTCTTTCATAGGATTTGTATACAGAGATTTTAATTATGGAAGAGGATCAACCCTCGACTTTCCATGCTGAGTAAAACTGATTTGTATTCATTTCATAATGATTTACTCTGATTTGTCATAACGGAAAAATAATATAGATGATGTATGGTTGAAATAGAATTGGGAATTTCTCAAGCATAAATTAACTGATTTATATATATATTTCCTTATCGAAATATCTGATTTGTTAAGAATCATAACGAGAAGTGACGATAGTTGTGTTAACGGAGAGATCAAGGTTTTGTGAAAGACGATCTAAAAGGAGTGTTGAAATATATAAGGTAGAAATTTGCACGCATGTCCCCTCTTCCACATCCCAGATTGTGACAGATGTTGTTAGTGTGCAATCACCGACCGTATATCAAATACATCTCTTTACAACATATTAACTACTTTATTGCATTTATAGAGGATTAAGTGAAAAAATGTTCCAATAAAAGAATTTCCTTGTGATTAGCAAAAATGGTTATATCGTGTTTCATATATTAATCCCACAGCAATTGCAATATCTTGTTGCAACAGTCTGATTAAAACTCTGCATGTGCCATATGATATTATCAACACTACTGGATACTTTACAACAATAGAAACGTTATTAACATTAACAGACATGGTTAATTTTATTACTGTTAAAATTTGGAAAAAAAGTTCCCAAGTATGAATTTCGGTTTTATGCCAGTTTGATGAACTGATCACGATGGCATTAAATGTTATTCCCTGTTGACTGTTTTTAAGATGTTAGGTCGATCTCAACTTCAGAAGAATTTTAATTTTTATGTTAGCTGAGAATTTTAACATTGGGTACATCTTAATTGACTTTATACACTCATACATTTAACATAGATGTATGGAATTCCACTATTTGTTCAAAACTCATCAAGATTTTTCGGAATTACTATTTTTTTTCAAGACGTAGCAATTAAGGTCTTGCGAATTATCTTGTTTTCAATAATCTATACTTTATTTAGTACTGTAATGTCTATTTTAAAAATATGTCCTACATAGATGAATACATAATTGATGTTCGGCAAATTTTGAAAAAAAAATAGTCGAGGTCCCCTACATCACAACAGTATCATTGGTATTGAAATACTCAAAATATAGACATAGTTAAAACTTCTATTTATGCTGATTTTATGGATATGTACAGCCGGTTCAGGTGCATCCAATGTTAGAAATAACAGCGTACAGCCGCTTTTCTGACGTTGGGATGAACCTAATTCCCTAAAGATAGTTCATAGGAAGAAACGCTTTATACCATCGAGCTCTACAAACTGGCATAAAGCCGATTGAAAATGAACACTCACACTTCGGGACCTTCCCTCGTAAGTTATAAACTAACAAATGACTCATAAATAATGGGACTGTTTGATTTTCGTTTTTGAGGAACGGAAATACTGGTCAAGAGCACCATTCTACGCTCGTTCGGTGGAGAATGTTTCGCTCTACAAAACTGTGGACTTCATTTTATAAATAAACTTTTCTCGTCGACAAATAATTGGAAAGATTGCCGAGTGCTGCACGGATCAATTGCAATTTTCTGCGAATATCTAATGATTTGTGCAAGCTTATGCTTTCAAGATCTTCTCAAAGTTCCAAATGATGTCATTCGGAAGGCTTGGGACTAACATCGTGTGGTATTTTGTTTTCAATACACTTTCGAAACTCATAATTTCAACGGTTACCATGCTCTATGAACAGTATCATCGGATACAGAATTTAATTCTGAACAAAATGATGTAACATTTATAAAAACGAACAATGAAAATCTTTAGATTGCCCTCGATGACATAGAGCTGTCGGAAAGAGTTTTTTTCTAACTATGAAACATCGCGAGATGCAGCATTTCATAGCATATTTCGAATTTTGACGGAACTGTTAGTTAAACATTTATGCACTACCCGTTGCATTTGAAAACATTTCCTTTACAACTAAAATATGCGTAGGAACGTAAACTTTTACATAAGAATAAAAATTTCCTGAATAAGTAAATTGTCATGTTTCTCTATTCGAAACATAAGTGTCACTTAAGGGTACTAAATGATAAGAATGTCAAATACAATTGATTTCGATACATAATAGGAGTGAATTGACAAAAAAAGAATTGGTTTTTTGTTTTTACTTACAATATTAATATCATCTATTTCATGTTTAACTTCAGCCCAATATTTATCGAGCATTTCTTTACCAGCTGTTGGTTCAATATTTTCAGCTTCAGCTTTTGATGAATTCATTTTTGTTTATATTAATTAAATCTAGAATATATGAATCCAAAAAAGAAAGAAAAAGAAAACAACATAAAGTTTTCTTTTCTACAACTATTTCATATAAATAATTTTTTCTTATTTTATCTGAATTAATTAACATATACATAAACAATAGAAATAATAATCGAATTTATAATGATTGCACATATACACCTCACTCCCATTTTTTTAAAATGGGAAACATTTTCTTTTTTTTTTTTTTGTTTTCGTATTCATACACTGTTCTTATTTACATAAACTAGAATGAATGATTACTTTTACTTTCAACAATATCATTTATTTGTCCAGGTAATAAATCAGGACGCATTCTTTCAATATCATCTAATGGACTAGTACTACATAATAAATCATCATGACTTCGTGCTAATGGACAACATAATGGATCGGAATTCATTGAACCAACAGATGCTGAATTTGTACGTTCACACCAAGATTTATCGATTGGAATTTCATCACAAATCATTAATAAATTTGATGATGAAGAATATTTCTAACAGATAAGAAATAATAAATTTTATCAAAATATTCAATAAATTTTACTTTCGGAGGTGAATGATTTACTTGACGTTGATGATTATGATTATAATTTCGAAGAATATTAGCAAATGCTCGCATTTCTTTTGGATATGGTGTTGGATTACGAACAAGTTGTCGCTGAAAAAAAAAATAAAATTTATACAAATAAAACAAAAATTGAATTCTTAAATATTTTACTGGTTCATCAATTGTATCATTAGCAAAACGAAGAGTTATTGGACGATTTTTATAATCAATTGTTTGTTCGGTAGTAAATCGATTTTCTACAAAAATACAAAAAACATTTTTTTCTCATATCAATATTTTATTTCATACTTGTTGTATGTCGATTCATTGAAGGATCAGTTTGTGGTAAAAGTATACATGTAAGTACACGTTGACCTGTTATTGAATGACGTTCTTGTTCGAAAGCAATTAAAGGTTTTGCCTAGAAAGAGAGAAAAAAAAACCGTCAGAACGTAACAAAAACTAATTACCTGAAATATCTCATATACATTCAAAAGTGACATACGAAATAAAATATAAAGATATCAAATGTAGTCTATTGATTTTGAAATTAGAGAATTGTTAAGTCTGTCTAACGAATAATAAATCCGTTTTATTACTAGAAGTTTTCGATGAATAAATAGGAAGAATAAAAAGATGTATTTTGCAAAGTTAAAAAATTTTAATGGATCTTTCGAGAAATTTCTAAGATAGCAATATTTGTTTATTTAATTTTGATTACAAACTAACGTAACACCAAAAGTGAAGCTTTTGAAGACACATTTCTCAAATCTTATCATAATTTACTAAGTATACAAAATTCGTGTTCATTAGACAGATTGGACGATTTCACTTTTAAGTAAAGTACCGAATGGATATGACTTATATTAAAATTATAAATGCCTGAGAAGGTATAAACAATCGGATCCGGACTCATAATATTTTCAATAAAATTCTTTAATCCATCTCGATAGTCGCGCAGAAGACACACGATACTCTTTTTTCCGCTTATTTAGATTTAGCAACTAATACGTCCTACACATCTTTCAGGAGATCTTGTCGATGATTACATAAGAATGCGGTCATAATTGATTAATACTTCTTGAGGAACAACTGTTGGATCAGAATCGATGCGTTCTACTGATAGGATCTCTTACTCAATACGTTTGGCAAAAAACTTTTCATTTGAAAACCGAAAAGGTTATACATTATTCAATACAGTTCTTCACGCTGATTTCGAAACAGTCATTATTTTTGGGGTTAGTTCCAGCTGAAATCATTCTTAGTTGGCTAAAATTCATTTCGAACTAGTTTCTGATGAGATATTAATAAGACATTTTATTAATTGAATGATTATTTGACATTTACTTGATTGAAAGAAATACGAGTAATAGCATATCAGAAAATAAGTTGCAAAAAAAAATGATCATTTAATAGTATGTTTTATTGCCACACATTCTCCACATTTGATAGCAAGTTTCGTACCGGTAAGGTTACCATTTGTATATACTTTAAGATGAAATTCAAGCACGAAAAGGTGTGGCATGACAAGTCTTCTATACAGTTACATCCATGCCTGCATGCACACCTTTTATATTCTAATAGAGCAATTAAGCCGATAATTGAATATTAACTGAAACTAATTTAAAGACAAATGTAATGGAAACTGATGTTATTAACGATACATATGGTGCCAGTCAGGGAGCTCTCTTACTATTGTCTAAAAGTTATTTTAAATAGAGAAAAATCAAGGTTTTTTCATACATCTATAATTCAGTATAGAAGTATTTGTATATATATATATATATTCGACGCATCAGATGTGAAAGAGTGTTTATGTAAAAATGTCATCAATATTTAAACTGTACGATATTATATGCACTCACAATACTGAATACATCTTTATATAGTATTTCGCTTGAGAACAAAATGCTTGTTTTTTTGTTTATAAATTAGTAGAACACATAAACTCTAATTCTTTACAATCTAAAGCGTACATTTATCAGTTCTTTCTATCTTCAATGAAGTAAACTACGAGTATTTTGTGGAACTCACATTATTTTTCCTACCATTGGGTATACTCCACAGAAATTAACAATAACAAACGTCCGACTTCTTCCTCAGAGTTTCTTAGTAACGGGCAAAAGTACTGAACAGTATTAGCAACTTGAAATTTTTCCCTTAACATATTTTGAATTAGTAGAAATAAGCTTAAGGAACACATGTGAATTACACATTTTATCTTATGTCAGATCATATCCGAAATCGAACTTACTTGATTTTCATTCATCCATAATGCTTGTAAATTTTTAAGTTTTAATAATGTATAAGGTAAATATTGAAGAAAATTTCCTATTAATATCAAAGAATTTTTCTTATAATTATTTTTCATTAAATTAAAATCTTACCGCTAACATTAAGTACTTTTAATAATGATAAACGTCCAATTTCATCTGGTAAATTTGTTAAACAATTTGAACGTAATGAAAGTATACTTAAACTTGAACAACTACCAATCTAATTAACAAAAATAATATTTCTTTAGAAAAAAACAACAAAAAAAACATTTTCTTACAGTTGCTGGTATTGATTGAATTTGATTATAATCTAATGTAAGAAATTGTAAATTATGTAATAAACCAATACTTGTTGGTATTGATGTTAAATTATTAAATGATAAATGTAATTCAACTAATGATGTCATACTAATTAGTCAAACAAAAAAATTTTCTTTTTTATTAATAAACTATTTTTTTTTTCAAATTACTTACTTTCCAATATTATTTGGCAAACGTTCAATTTGATTATTATTTGCTGTTAAAGTTTCTAAACTGGTTAGATTAACTAAATAGAAAATTAAACTTTATTTAGTTTTCAAAATTGAAATTTTCTTTTTGTTTTTTACCAATCGAATCCGGAAAATTTATAAGAAAATTATCTGATATATGTAAATCAGTTAATTTACAATCACCAATTGAAGATGGTAATTCAGTTAATTGATTTTGTGATATATCAAGAAAAGTTAAATTTGTTAATTTATCAATTGACTAAATAAAAACATATATATATATATTTATATGTAAAACATAAAAAGAATAACAAAAGCAACAACATCATAAAGAAAAAACACAAATGAAGTGTGAAAAATATTTTGCAAGGGGTACTAAGCTTAATACCTTATTTACTCTTTCTTCTACTAGAAAAATAAGAATAATAATCAAGAAAAAATATATATTGATATTAAATATTAACTTACATCATCTATTGATATCAATCTATTTGAATCAAACCATAATTCTTTAAGAGATGGAAGATTTGTTAAAACATGAGGCTACCAAAAACAAAAGTTCGATTTAAAATAATAAAAATTTCATTTTTATTTTAACATACAAATTCAATAAATGAATTAGCACCTAAATCTAATCGTTCAAGTTTATTTAATTTTGGTAATGTAACAGGTAATAATCGCATACGTGTTGCACGCATTTCCAACACTTGTAATTCTGTTAAACTAGAAAGAACAAAAAATATAATTTCTATGAGTATTTATTCAGAATCGATATTAACATGAAAACATTCTCAATTTGAAAATTACATTTGAGTTTGAATTCTCTACATAAGGTAGACATCAATGAGATATTAAAAGGATAAGGGCACTTTGGTATTGTCTAGAGTGTTATAGACATTTCATCGAAATTTTCAGAACAATAGATCCATCTATGGGCGAACCTTCAGTTTGTATTTTTAATTTGATTTTTTTCTTAGGTGCGATGTTATTTTATCTGTATAGAGCTGAAACTTACTTATCATAAATTATTTTTAAAAAATGACTCATTTTGAGGAGCGATATATGATTTGACATTGGCAAAGACAGCTATTTTTAGATTGAAATTAGTTCTGTCATTTGCAGAATCGTGTTCGTATTGTTAGATGCTCGTCCTGATGAAATGCTTTTTGGTTCTAATAAAATTTTTAGCATGAAGCTCGCGTCACTTATGAGTCACAAAAAAAACAACTCAAGTTGTCATGAAAAATGACACTGTCACATTTGTAATCAATAAATTTTGATATTCAAATAATTCTATTCTTAATAAGTCAATTTTCTATTATTATATCTACCTACCGTCCAAAATTGCCTGGTAAAAATTCTAATAATGTGTCATTGAGATATAATTCTTTTAAATTAATTAACATTGTTAAACCTTCACATAATCTAAAGAAATAAATTATGTACATTAAAATTGAAAACTAAAAACAAAAAATACAACTAACCTTTCTAATCGATTTGAACTACAGTCAACTAATGTTAATAATTTACAATAACGAATATTATCTGGTAGTGACATTAAATCTAGATAAGAAAAATAAACCAAAAATAATTTTCATAAGAAAATACATACCATTTCGACTTAAATCTAAACGTTCTAAGCTTGTTAGACTTGAAATAGATGGTGGTAAACAATCAAGTTCATTATCAGATAAAATTAAATAACGTAAAACATGACATTGAAATAACCACTTGACAAAAACAAAAACAAACCCCAATGCAAAAACATATTCAAATATCTTCCATTTTAATTTATTATTTTTTTACTTACTTTTGGTAGTTCTTGAAGACAATTCGCTTCTAAATGAAGTTCTTCTAATGTATTTTCATATTGAAGTATATCTTCTGGTACAGATGATAAATTTCCATGACTATAATCAACTACTGTTATATCGTCACGTCGTTTTCGACTACTATTACATTTATGTAATAGAGCTAACCTATAGGAAAATGATAAAATAATTGTGACAAAAAAAAAAATTTCCTTTTTTTTTTTAATGTTAATTCAACTATACCGAACTTTTTTGGCAACTGATGATGGAAACGTAAGCGGCATTGATAATATTAAAAAGATATTGAATATAAAGTTCTTTCCTTTCTTTCTTTCTCTTTATTGTTAGTGGACACCGTCGTAGAGGAATAGCGAAAACTGATTACTAAAGCGACATCTATTTTGAAAAATATTAATCAATATTTTAATATTTATTGAGAAAAACAAACAATATAATTCCAGTTATTTTATATATTGTTAATAATTATGCAAAAAAATGTTTTAGAATTAGGTAGAAGTAATTTTCGGAAGAATTTTATCAATGCTAAAATATCGAAAACGGTGCTGCAAAAATACAAAAAAAAAGGCGCCACGTAGCTTAATAAAAGAGAACTGTCAATTGTGACATTGATTAAGTGACCTGTTAGGTACAATGATGAATATAAAGCAAATAGATTTGACTATGCGTAAATATTAAATGAAGTGTTACCAATGAAAATGCGAAAAGATTGTCAATGTCATTCTATCTCGTATTCATTGAAGATGATATTTAGAAGTAATCAATTTATAAATGATTAATTGTTGTTTGCAGCAAACATAAAACGGGTGTGAAAGATTCTTCAGTCAGAGTCGATAAGCAAATGTGTACATACCATAAATAATCGGATTTATGTAATTTTTGAAAATTAGAAAGCAAGATGAATTTGTATGCAATGTAGAGATATCAATGTAATGATGGAAGGACGATTGTAGCTACAAAATGTGTTTTAAAGATCGTCAGAAGTTTTATCGGTTCATTTTTAGTTTCTTTCTGATAGGAAAAATCGAAGAATATTTCGGAAGAGATGCGCGAACATCTTCCCCTCTACAACCGTTACGGTATGGGCTTCATCTATGCAATCAATGGAATTTTTAGGAGAGTCAATCATTTCAGAAATTTCTTATTCGAAAGAATTCTCTTTCTGTTGTCAATAGCATAGGTCATTGAAATAAAAGATGAAGTATTGATCGCGATTTATAACGAATAAATTCTTTTAGAGTTTTATGCTTATAGAATGAGTCCTATTTTGTCAGTAAAAATGGGAGCAGAATTGCGAGGGCGATCGATGACTCAGAAGGCTAATTGAGCGTCTATTTAAGAATTGCCAAGTAAAGAAAAATAAAACGCTGGACCTCCACTGGAGAAAAGCGAACATTTTTCAAGATAGGGGTGGTCACACTCTTTGATCCATCACTCAGCGGACATTCCTAGGTCAAACAGAAGGTACCAATGGAAAGAGTTTTCTAATGCTTGACAATGTTGAAATGAAATCATAACAGACTTTTATTCTTATATAAATTCAAAAAAATGGATTGAATATTGAAAAATCATATGTATTCTACAATTCTAACGGTATCATCATATCTTGTAAAATTTATGTCAATTACTTTTTCAATATAAAAAAAAATATTCATGTGGATCACTGTCAAAGGAAAGAACGAACAAAAAAACGCGCTCGTCGTTCTGCACAAAATGATACGAATATTCTTCTCTTCTTAATAAATAAAAGGTTAACCATTGATCAAAGTATACGTTGTTCACATGGATGAACAATTGTTTTTTTCAAATATTTGTATAAAACAAAAAAGTGAATTGACTACTTGTCAAATATATGGTGTATACGTAACAAGGATGATATGTTTGATGTGAAATCAATATAATATCTATCGACAATTCTATCGAGCTTGAATGAAATTCGCAGATAATTAAACTTGAAACATTGAATGATTAATGCAAATTGTGATAGATTTTGTCATCTTTAGTGGATGATTTTAAAGTTATTCGTATAATTTTTTGTTTAATATTAATGATTGAAACAAGAAATTATTCTTTCTTTTAATTAAACAACGAACAGTTTAAGTTAGAATTTATAATTGATTTCTCTGTACTCTTTACCAATAGATTATTTGATTGAATGTATAAAAACATTTATGTTGGTAAGATTTGTCTATATACTTGTTATTATAATCATGGGAAAAAAAGTAAGAAAATTTTTGGTATTATCATTCTGTCTTTATTTATCAAAAAACAATACTAGATGAATAGACAAAAAACACAAAAAACAGAGAGATTATGAAGGTAGTCGTCGATCATAAATATGATCAAATAATGGATTATGTATTGAATCGAATACAAATCGATCTGTTTTACTAATGTATCCATTTTGAAAATCACGTGCATACATCAGTTTTCGATAAGCTAGTTTTTGAAATCCAATCCAACCATTCTAATACGATTTATAATAATAATTAAAGTAAAAAAAAAAAAATTATCAATTTGTCTTTATTACCTTACATCGAATGCATATACATTCAAGTGATTTATTATAAATTGCTGTTCCTGGTTGTAATGATATCACATTTAGATTATCAATAACATTTTGATCGTTAATTAATGTTAATAATTTCAAACGAACAGGCTTTTGACGAAAACTAGTTCGAAGATTAGCCTAAAATATGATGAATTAGAAAAAAATAAATAAATTTTCAAATAATTCATATAACATACAATGCCATTGAGAGCTCGATACAATCGATCAATATCTTCAATTGTATGATTACACCAATCGATATAAAATGCATATTTATTTAATTTATGAGCTAAAAAAAAGAAATAATGATTATTTATTAAGAGTCCCTGTAAAAAAAAAGTCAATTGTCGTCAGAAAAACAAAAACTGAGATAAATGCATGGGAAGATAACCCGAGGTCTTATCTTTCAGAAACAGCATGATTTTTATTTCGGCATCTCATTTTTTGATGATCTTCATCACTTTCTGATTCGAAGAATATGCTTTTTTCTATCCAAAACAGCATGTTAAGATGCAGGGCATGACAGAGTCCTTCTTTTGAATAAAGCTTTATGAAATAATAGTTTTATAATTAGAGCGTCATTTTTTGAGAGGTTTTCAAGACATTGAAATTTTCTCCACTTAAAAAGTAAGAATTTAAAAAAAAAGGCTCTGTCATGCCTTCAGCCGAAAAAAATTAAGTATATAGAATGAAGATCCACAGAGAATTTCGGATTGCCAAATGAGCTATTTTCAACCCTTGTTTGTTGAATATCTTCCGAAAACATCATGATATTGGAGTGAAAATTTTAACATAGACTCTTGACTATAGCCCCAAAATATTCTAAAAGTCTCATACGATTTGAATGTACCTGGCCTAAGATCGATTTTTGAGGAGTGTGGGCATGATCTTAAATTATGATTTTTTTAATTATTACCATAAGTAACTCCTGATAATGATTGTTCTTGAGCATTCTGTCGTGCTTTAATTGGATCTTCAAGAACAGTAGTCAACTAAAATAAGAAGCAATAATTTTTATAAAAATTATTGATCTAAATTTACCAATGAACAACCAATGCTTGCAGTCATTTTAAGTAATTCAGACATAGTTATATTAGTTGATAATGGAAATGATTGTTGCATTAATATAGATCCAATATCAAAACTATTGATTAAAAAATAAAATAAACAAATAAATATATATGAAAAATAATATCTTATACACTTACTCACTGTTTGGGTCGAATGTCCATAATAGAAACACCACCGATTTTATCTCCACTAGCAATAGTATAGATCAATGGAGAACTACCACGCCATCGAGGTAATAAACTTGGATGAACATTAATTATTCCTCTAATAAATAAGAAAACTATATCTATGAAATTTTCCGAAAAAAAAAGTCTAACTTACAAAGGAAAAGATTCAATCAATTTTTTAGGTAATAGTTGACCGAATGATGCAAGAATACCTAAATCGAATTGGACAGATGATTTTGATATTAATGAATCAATATTTGACCAAGTATGAGTTATTAATTGAAGTTTTTCAGCACCATGCATTACAGTATTTGATGATGATACAGTTGTTACTACTTCTAAATTTTTAATTCGTGATTTATCATTGATAAATAATTTGTAGAGATGTTCAAGAATATGCATAGAAAAAAGATCCGAACCAAAAAATGCAACATTCAGTGGTTTAATAATCGAACTTGAATAAAAACATTTCGAAAGATGAATATGCCGTTTGACAATATATTGAACATGGCAAATAAACATTGAAAACAAAAAAAAAAGAAATCTAAAAAAATAAAAGGTTATTAAGAATCAATCATTGATACATGGTAGAACTGTAAACAGAAATTTAAGATTCAAAATGATTTTGTTGTATATCGAGTCGTTAATGATTAATTTACAATTACACTCATTGTTATTCAATTTTCATATATAAAATATCATTATGATCATTATTAGATATATGCAGTGTTCGTGTAAGTACTGAACAAATGAGTCACATACACAGAGCCTTTTGGGACATTGATTTCACTAACAGTCACATTTGCTGCAACATCAAGATACCAACTCTCTATCACAATATTCTCATTTTGTAGAAGTGTGTTCGAATGCTTTAGTGAACACTGTTTTCAGTGTATCAGTATGCACTAACTATAATGAACCGATAGTATAGTCTGTCGGCTCGAGCCTAGGTGCAAAAATTTCGGAACTGACGGGCTCTAATCGGTGGTCAATAAAATGAAACTCCACATTCCTAACCATCTAATGAAACATTTAATTCGTTACTTTGGAAGAGTCTTAGAATCGATTGAGTAGAAAATTTTGACTTTGAACATAAAAATCGATAAAATTTTTTTGAAGTTATTTCAATAGCATCGGTGTCTTCTTTTATCATTTATTATTATGTTTCAAAATATATGCATCAATTTTGATAGAAAGAAGATCCTGTTTTTTTTTTCTTTCTCCGATCTGATATTTCATAATTTCATTGATAAAATTTATTAATCTCATCAGAACATATATATTTTTTGTTTGTATCTGCAATAGAGACTTATTTAATATTGAGTAGTAAATATTAACAAAAAAAAAAATTGTTTTTTTTTATTGTTCGAAATATTTTTATCTGCGAAGTTTTTTTGCTTTGTATTATTGTATTGAACAATCTTAAATCAATGCTTGTATTAACCTAAAATTTATAAAGAAAAATATTCAAATAATTTTTTTAATATAAAATATAAAAATACTTACAAAAAGAGATAAAGAAAAAAGCATAAAAGATAAAATATTAATCGAATAAGAAAATCCTATAAAATCATAGAAAATATAAATCGATATTTCATAAATCTAATATTTACTCTCATATTTGCTTTGATATTTCTTCGATTATTTATTTCTAATGGATCATAAATACCTAATTGACCTGGTTGCCGCTTAAAATATCTTAAAATAAAAAAATAAAATATCAAGAAAATATAAGAATTAAAAAAAAATGAATGGCTACTTGTAAGCAAACCAAAGATCCAATACAACATTTAATATGAATATAAACCAATTATTATTGAATATGAAAAAGACTGTTACCATGACATGTAATGCAACTTCTGGTAGAAATGTCTAAAATATATTTTTTAAAATAAATCGAACTTTTCCTATTGAAGTCACATTTAATATTTTGTGAAGTAGAAAAAAAATACTTTTTTTTGTTTTATAAAGTTACAATATCATAAATCTACAAAACAAAACAAAACAAAACAATAAATGAATAAATACGTACTTGATTAAGTTTATTGCAAGCTTGCCGAACATTCATTAAATCGATTTCAAGATCAGATAATGTAATAATCTGTATATAATATATTGAATAGTATTACAATCAATGTTTCAAATAAGTAACACTTACATTATAAATATTAATAAATAATAGAAGTAAATTATCGATCATTGCAAAACCAAATAATAAAGCCGTCATAGACATTTTGCGTTTTTTTCTTATAGATCTAAACACACCCGAAAAACCGTGTGTGTATGTTTGTATTTTTTTTTTAATTCTAATTAAACCTTCCAGAAAAGAAAGAATCTGTTTTATTTTATTGTTTTTCAGTTTATCTGAACTTAGTTATCTACTATATGAAGAGAACAAGAAAACAAATCTGATTCATAACAATCGAATTCAAACAAAGACATATTCCTTAGTAGAATAACAAAACATAAGAGAGAAAAGCAACAAAAAGTGAAACTATCTTCTTATTTCCTATTAATATATCTGAACTATTGGTTTTTTTTTAAAGAAAGTTAACAACAACCGGGTTATAATACAACAAAACAAAAATGTTCAAGAAAATTCTCTTGTTTTAATGTCCATTACCATTTGTAATAATCATATCATCATCATCAACTTCAACACGTGCACGTTTATGACGTTGTCGTTGTGTTAAACTTGGTGTTACTATTGCTACGGATTCATCATTCATTGTTGATGTTTCAGTACTATTTATAACTGATATAGGTCCTAATCGATTACCAATATTCAATCTAATAATAATTGAAAAAAAGAAAATAAATCTTGTTTTGTTTTGTTTTTCTTCTTTTGAATATATCTTACCGTTCTTCTTCTGAATCAAGTAATTTTCTATATGTTGAAATTTCTCGATCAAGTCCAATTTTCGTATCAAGTAAATTTTGATAATCATTTTGCATTTGTTCAATAATAGATTTAAGATTTTGTATTTCTTCATCACGTTCATTTAATGATTCATGTTGTTGTTGTTGTGTACGATATGTACGATCTTCTAAATCACGACAACGTTGTTCTAATTGTAATATTTTTTCATTACATATATCACGAGTTTTGATTGTTTCTTCAATACGTTCACGATATGATATTAAATCAGTACGATAATTATTTATTTGTTCAACATAACGACGATTGGTAATTTGTAAATCTTCAATCTAAATATTTATATTAGATAAATTCATGATTTTTTTTTATAGATATAGTCAATGTCAAAAAATCGTTTTGTTTACATCAAAAAACCAAGAATCAGTTCAACAAGGAAGAGTTCAAGCAAACAACAATTCAAAGATTGGTATGATGATGACTAATCTCTTATTAAAGATATTTTTGCATATCAATATTATTAAGAAAAACTTATCAATCGAATATTAAAGTGAACTATATTGTATGTAGTAATAGCAATATCAATAAGAAATTCTCATGCATCAACGATTGTTTAGTTTTGTTCAATATAGAATTGTAACCACTCTTCAATGGTAGAAAGAAATTATATTAACAAGCCATTTTTTTCTTTGATCAAATATGCCAAGAGCAAATTTGAGTGCTCAAATGAAAATAATCAAAGTTATATTTGTTTAAATTTTTACTCTCCATTGACAATTGGAGTAGCCATATGTAGAACGATTGCAGAAAATAAAGGAAGCATGAAATTTGAAAATGATGTGAACACTTTTCATCGCTCTGACTTTCAAAATATCCGGTTTAGAAAATCGATAATGTTGAAAAAATGAAAAAAACTCGAATTTTTCGAAAGTGCATTAGATATGTTTCGAAACAAAGTTAATATATTTACTATAAACTTCAACTCATGACAAGTTGAAATAGGATTTAATGTGAATTAAATATCTTCAAAGCAAAGTAGATGCTTATTTACCAAGTTGTGTAAAAAAAAACATGTATTTTTTGACATGATTTTGATCAGTTTACTCGTTCTTTTTTTTCATTACTTCCACAACATAGGATAAATATAGCTTATGCCCACTTACTAATGTACTCAAAGAAAAAAATCAATGCATAGTATATCGTTCAATCTTCTTTCTCCACCATATGGTTGCTAGACCTATCAAATGGCTCCTACACAAAAAGATGGATACTTGGTCGATCATATCACATAATTGGTATATTCGACAGGCTAATACTCTGTTTGATAAGGTTATTTTATCATTAGCTCTTCTGGAACCATTGTGGAGGCTGAAGGATTAATCAAAATGCATATATTTCATTGATGTGTTGTTAGAGATTAGATTTACGTGTTGAACGTTATCTGAAGAGAAATGAGGCTTATCTGCAAAATCTAAGTGAAAAAATCTAAGATTTAGAGTTTATCAATCAGCTAAATGACTCTTTTTTTTCGAGCTATGCAAATATTCATCTTTTGAGACTTGTAAAAACTTCGGTATTCTGTTTGAAGTCGTTCCTATTGACCAATTGAAAATGGTATAACTAACTGGGCCAACCGGTTGCAACCCTAGAATAATATTTTAGGTGGAGTAACTATGATTGATATATTCCCAGAATCTGTTAGACTACAATATATAAATAAACGTATAACAAGTAGACCTCCTCATATTTTCTTTTCTGATTTCAATGATTTTTTTTCTATAAATACTACATAGTGTTTTTACAAAAAAAACTCTAAAAGAATTTGGATTCCTATTGAGATTTGACTAAGCTATCGAGTTTTGATCTGAAACTTTGCACATATAGAGAACTCAACTAGATTAACTTACGTAAAACAAAACTCACAAGTTTTAAAGAAAGTCTTTTCGAGATACGAGATTTTCAAGATATAGACCTTTTTCCATGAATAGTATATAGAGAAAGCTTCATATATCGAAAAGACGTTGTTCAAAACTTCTAAATATTTTTTATGGAAACTAACCTAGTTGAGTTGTCTCTATGTGCAAAGTTTCAGATCAAAATTTGAGTTTTCCGATAAATTGCGACTTCCAGAAAAAAAATATAATAGCTTAGTCAAATCTCAATAGAAACCTAAATCCCTGTTTCCTTTATTCATAACTATTACTACATCTTTGACGTTGTGCTATTCTGTAAATATTATTTCTAACAGTTTGATATTTTACGTAGATTAAAACTGCATATATCTTGCGGATATATTCAATTTATAAATTCCGATATGATTATTCTATTTTTCCGTATTTAGTTTAATTATCTCAATCGGATATTGAACAACATTCCTCACCTTTTTTTCATATTGTACAGCAATTTCTTCTCGTAATAAAATAATTTCTTGATCATTTTGTGTTCGTAATTGTTGTAATTCTTGTAAAAGTTTATCATCATATTGTTGTCGTAAACCATCATTATGAATAATTTCATAACATTGTTGTTCTTTGATTTGTTGTATATGCTAAAATTTTATTTTATTTCTAATTTTATTAAAAAAACAAAAGAAAACGAGAAAATTAATTTTGAACATACTGTTTCATGAACTTGTTCATTAAATTCTAATTCTTCACGTAATGTTTTATTTTTATTTTCAAGATCAATACGTAGTAAAGTTTCCGATTCAAGTTGACGTTTTAATGCTGATATTTGTTTTTCAAAATCATTATTTAAATTTTGAAGAATCTAAATAAAAACGAAAAAAATCTAAAATATATTCGAAAATAAAATCTTTTACATACTTCATTCTCTTCTATTTTACGTGTTGTATCTGATGTAATTGAATTACAACGTGCTTTTAATTCAGCTATTTCATTTTCATATTGTTTTAAACGTGATTCATATCCACGTGCATCACGATCAATACGAGAAAGTCTAATATAAATAAATACATAAAATAAAAAAACATTGATTTTATTGTTACTTTGTTTGTAAATCAGTATTTTCAGAACGATGTTTTTCAAGTTCAATTGCAAGACGAGATTTTTCATGTGCTAATTCTTCAATTAATTTTTTTGCATCATCTAAAATAAGAAATTTAATCTAATTA